ATCTCCTCTCATGTAAGCCTCTGAAAACCCACTGGAGGATCAGTGATGAGTTGTTTCTGACTCAATAGTATATAGTAGAAGTCAGAAATTTCTTTCATTTTCTTTTAAACTGTGTTTGAATTGTTGTTGCTATGTGTCATTGAATTGCCTGTGGCTCATAGTGACCCTACGTACAATAGGTGTTCTGAACCCTATCCTATCCTGAGTCAGTTTCACTGACTTTGACATACATTACCCCATTGCCCCAGTTACCACGTCAATCCAACACATTCTGTGCTGTACCTCCAACCTTCTAAGCATGATGTCCTTCTCCAAGGACTGGTCTCTCCTGGCTATGTTCAAAATCCTAACCTCCAATGAGAAACTTGGTTTCATACTGTCAAAGATAGACCTATTTGTTTTCCTAGTGGTATGTTCAATACTTTTCTCCAGCACCATGACTCAAAGGCATAAATTCTTCTGTCATCCTTAGTCCAGCTCTCTGATACATAGCAAGTAATTGGGAAGACATAGCCTGGATTAGGCATACTTTAGTCTCTAGATTAACATCATTACTCTTTAGCACTTTGGAGAGGTCCTTGCTAGCAAACTTCCCCAATGCAATTCATCTTTTTAAAAAATAAATAAATATTTTATTTCTAATTTGAAAAAAAAAGGGTTCAGATCTGTTCATAGAGTCACTTTGAATTGTACTTAACTGGATAGGAGGCATCCAACTACAATTGCTAAGGATGTTTAGCATTTCTTCATATATTTGTTGTCCATTTGTGTATCTTCTTCTCCCCCTTTTTTTAAATTAATTTTAATGAAAGTTACAGAGACTTTGGATTTCCATTCATTCATTCATTGTTGCACTTTTCTCCCTGCCTATCCCTCCTCCCCTCAGTTTGCTCTTCTCTTTGAAAAGTAAAAGAGGGGGAGCTCTGATTGTCTAGTGGCAAGGAGCTGCATGGTTCGAATCCACCAGATGCTCTGCCAGGGAAGGAGGGACAGTCTCCTCCTGTACCAGTCAGATCGGATTTGACGGTACACTCACACAAAAATAATAAAATTTAAAAAAAGAAAAAAGTAAAAGAAAAATTCTTTCATTGTTATAAAATCCCTCCCCAGAGACAAGCCATTTCAAATTGTTCAATTTGGGGTTTTGTAAAAGAAAAACAAACAAAAACCTCACTGAACACTGTGGCACTCATATGCCAAATGTGATATTGGTTATCCATGTAATAATGGTTATCCACGGTGGACAGTGTTTGGTGGAGCTTCGATTAAAACAAGCTTGGAAGCAGGAGTGGCATACACTTCTGAAATAGCTTGCCTCCAGAAACTCTATGAACAATGCTCAGGCCTTTTGTTCAGAGGGTTGTTATGAGTCATCTATGACGCGATGTCATTTAACAACAATAACAATGACAACATAGAGAGAGTTATGTTATCTTAGTGGACAGAAAGTTATGCTACCAAGCCCAAGGTGGGTGATTTTAATCTGTGGCCCTCAGGCTTGGTTCAAATGGTTTTTTTTTTCAAACATTCTTCTAGGTGGTATAGCACTGGTCTGTCTATTTGCTGTACAGAGGTAACTCATGGTTGCTGTGATGCTAAATATTGTGACACTGATGTGTCAAATGTGATAATGGTTACCCTTAGTGGACAATGTTTGGTGGAGCTTCCCTATTAAAACAAGCTTGGAAGCAGAAATGGTATCCACTTCCAAAATAGCTTGTCTCTAGAAACTCTGTGAACTTAAAGAAACAATGATAGTTATACCACAGGGTTCAGGTCTTTCGTTCATAGGGTCACTATGAATGTCTACGACTCGATGGCACTTAACAATAATCATAGATTAGAGTTCTGAACTGTGTCTCTATTTTTTTTATTACCTTTTTAGTTTTTGGTTTTCATTAGTTCCTTGATATATGTGAGTTTTGTATATCGTGTGACGTATATATTTTGTTGCAACTTCCTGATATCCAGTTCTGTCTTAAAGCACCAAATCTCCTTCTTTTATATGTATCTCTCCAAGATTTTTCTGCTATATATTAAGAATTTATCCTAAATTATGACTTCCATGACTATCTTCATTGGAGTATTATCTCTTACATATTTTTACAAATAATAAGATTACAAATTAAAATCAAAACAAAATCCCTTAGATTTTATAAACTGGGCCAGTATATGTTGTTGTGGACCATAGACTCATGATTGACCCTCCAGTGGGTTTTCAGAGGCATTTTAATCACATGGGAGAAGATTGCCAGCCTTTCTCCTGCAGAGCAGGTTAGTGGATTGGAGGCACATCCCTTTCTGATGACAACACAGCTCCTTAATATGATGTTACCAGAAGGATAAGTAGGCTACCAGAGGCATAAAAATAAAGGAAAACTTGCATCATCAAGTCAACTCTGAGTTCCAGTGACCCTAAATAACAGAGTAGAACTGCTTTTTTACAGAAGCAGACAGCTGTATCTTTCTGGTGCGTCTGAATGAACAGTCTTTCAATTAGATGTCTAGCATTGAAGCTCCTCATAAATGGTGTGTAAATAATAGCATTTATCGAGATATTCTGACTCAAAATTGAAAGAGCTTCAACCTCTATTTTGCTTTAACAAAATTATTGATTGTTCTCCATTGTAATTCACATTTAGTCCCTGTCTCTGAATCATTTGTAATACTGAAAATCCCCAACCTGCTCCTTAACACACCTGGATATTGCACTCGTCGGCTTCTGCATATTCTGTTATGCCAAGTGATTATAGTGCATTTGCCCTTGTTTTGGTATTCATGGTTCTCTGACATATGCTTCCACTCTCCTGTTCCAGCTGCACATTCTACTTCCCATAGCCTGCACTGTACTCCACGCAGGTCCCACTCTTTCTTGTCTTATATTATCCCGTGTCTTTGTTTGCATTGAGTTTTTTATTCAGAATTCAAAATACAAAACAGATGAAAAACAATATTTGAAACAATCTAGTGGGAATTTGGAATTTTTAAATGAGGAAGACAATTTTACTTTGCAAGAAACTCATAGTTTAAAGAAAGAAAGTTAATAATCATAATATTAAAATAAATATTTTATTGCAAAAGCGTTGTAAAGAATTGTATAGAAAGAAGTATTGGTCCATGAATGAAGCAAGTTAATTCTAGAATGAATAGAAAGAAATATTCAAACATACTTTAAAATCCATCTCAAATCCTACTTTCAGTATTCTATCCAATCAATGATTGATATCTGACGTAATCTCCTGTCAGCACCTACAAGTTATTAACAGTTATGATCATTTTAATACTTAGTGAAGTTCAGTGGCATGGCCCAATGCAGATAGCCTGCTACTAGAAAATCTTTAAGAGGTTAGTCCATGGTTCCATGCACTTTCTTATTCCCCATACCAATATACTCACACTCAATAACACAACCTTGTGTTTTTGGGGGTATGAAATAGTTCTAGTGGGATAGTTAATAGGGTAGTTTTATGCTAACCTGAAGGCCTCACATCTTTGATGGTTTTAATCCACCAGGAGCTCTCTGAGAAAGAAATGAGCAATGTATATCCTGCTGTGCAAGTTAAACAAAGTTGCTGGTCAGCTATGAGTCTGCTCCATGGAAACAACTGACTTGACTTTGCTTTTTATAGTAATAGTCTTTATTTTAGAGTTTGCCCCTTACAATCTTGTGAGTTTGGATAAGACATTTAAGCCATCTAAATTTTAGATTCAGTTGACAATAAAAACAAGAGATGATGATAATGCCTGTTTCCTAGTGTCAATGTGAAGATTGCTTACCCCATGAAGATCTGATCTTGGGTGCATTTATAATAGAGAAGAGCTGTTAACAGGCAAGTTATCTTCATATTTTATAGCTTTCCTGGTCTATTACATAGTGATTTGCACTGCAAACCAGAAAGCTGTGTTTTTCTGGTAGTTTGAATCAACCAGCAGGTCCTTAGAAGAAAAGCAGCCAAGCTCTCCTGATAAGATTCACAGCCTCAGAAAACCACTGGTTCTTGAGTCAAATTAACTAGATGACAGTGAGTCACCCTAACTTATAAACAAAAAGCTTCGATGGCCTAATTTGTTATATGTTAAGCTGAAAGGTCATCACTGGCTCTTAGTATACTCTGTATCTCACTTAATTTTTTGTAAGAAACCCATCTAAAATACCTGCCATAAAATATCAATTTTTTTTATTTTTTAGATAGTCATGTTACAGGTGAGGAAACTAAGATTAATTAACCAGATCTTCAAATCTACTCTAGTGGTTTTCTTTGCTCGTTATTTCCTAAAGGAAGCATGTGTTACTGGTTCCTAGTAAATGTATTTTTTTTAAAAAAAAAAGTAAGCTTAGGGGAGCTATGGTGGCCTACTTTTAAAAATCTGCCAATAATCCTGAAGGCATGAGTTTTAATTCCACCAGTTCCTCCATGGATGGAATCTCCTCCCATGCTATTATCTGCCTCTGAAAGCTTCTGAAATCAGCCATGAGTCTGTTCAGACGTCATGGTACACAACAAGAGGATTGTAAAAGAATCAGAAAATAAGGTAATTAAGGATTCCAAAAGCGATAAGGCAAATTCAAGGAAGTAAAATATTTGGTAAGTCCAAGAAGACTTTGGATGAGATGAATTGACACAGTGTCTGGGGTAAAAAGGGCAGGTGTGTTGGAGACAGTAAGACTGGATCAGGATAGGACAGGATTCAAAGCTATTGTGCATAGGGACTCTATGAGTCATAGGTAACTTGATAGCACATAACAACAAAAAGAAGTTCAAGAAAACAACAAGGAAATCAGAGTTTGCAGATTCTGGTTCATAAGATGGAGACTTTAACCTGCTAGGTTCTGTCTGCCTGTCCCAGGGACCTGGAAAGACAAGGTTAGAGTGACTGATCTTTAACAGAAAATGTCAAAAACAGAAAATGCTAGACCATCCCCCACCTTTAGATTTTACTGTATTTCAGGAAGGAGGCCAAGAACACTATGTAAACTTGATGTGTTCTTTACCCTGCAGCTTCCGTTCAATGACTCCCAGAAGGCAAGCCTCCAGTGTTTGCCTTTTTATCGTTCTGCTGCTGCCTGTGGCACTGGGTCCCAAGGTGCTTTCTTTGGAAACCTGTCAGAGTCAAACCCAAGGCAACAGATGAATGGCCTGACCTCCTTCCTCGACGCGTCCACGGTATACGGTAGCACTCCTGCCTTGGAGAAGAAGCTAAGGAACTTAACCAGCCAGGAAGGGCTGCTCCTGGTCAACAGGCGCTACTGGGACGAAGGCCGCGCCTATCTGCCCTCCGCACCTCTGCGGGCCTCGCCTTGCGCACAGGAGCCTGGCACTCACGACAATGACCGGGTCGAGTGCTTTCTGGCAGGTGACAACCGCGCAAGCGAAGTCCTTTCCCTCACCGTCCTGCACACGCTGTGGTTGAGGGAGCACAATCGTCTGGCCATCTCCCTTAAGGGTCTCAACCCGCATTGGAGCCCAGACACCATCTACCAGGAGGCGCGCAAAATCGTGGGAGCCCTGCATCAGGTGCGTACAAGAGTGAGTGCTCTGCATTGAAGGCTGGTTGCTGGGGGATCTGGATTGTGGATTACCTTTGAGTTTCATGGCTGAACAGGTATCTTGCCAATGATACTAAGAGCAACAAAACTAGGTTCACATCTCATTTATTACTCACAATAGCCCTTTGAGTGGGTAAATACCAAGAGTTTTCGTTATTACTTATATCTTAAAAATATAGTTACCAATTTGATTGCCTTACAAAGCTATCATGAAGAACAAATTTCTTTTCAATCAATAGTTCCCATTTTGTTATGTGTCCATTATATTTTAGGTGTTAGGTTGTGTTGCTTCTGCCGTAAGGTTATTATCGGCTTATATTGACCTGATAGCATTTTCCCGTAGAGTTTTTGTGTTGCTAATACAAAGGTACTTAGTTTGGATCCACCAGCTGATCCACAGGAGAAAGATGGGCAATCTCCTTTCATGTGATTTCCTGGCTATGAAACCTCACTAAAGGGTCAGCTTTGAGCCAGTTCCAACTTGATATATACACCTATCCATTATAACAGCAGACCATTGTCTTTCAGCACCAACTCTTCTGTTACCCTTTAAGCCTTTGCACCCCCATGGCTCTGAAGCAGGCACTTTTTAGTATTCCTATAATTTTCACAATGGTTGATAAAATGTAAGAAGAGAAGGAATTGAGTTGAATGAAGTTGAACCATTTTGAGCCAAACTGGGATGTGTGTGTGTATGATAGAGAGAGAGATGCTGGAGTCAGAAAAGTAAATAACTTCTACAAAAATGAAAGTGAGAATTAGAAGCAAACTTGTCTTGGCAGAAGTACAGCCAGAATGCTCTTTAGAAGCAAGAATGCTATCTATGTCTTCGACTCATTTCCAATGGAGAGGTTGGCAGGAGGGTCCGTCTCTGAAAAAGGACAGCAGCACTGGTAAAGTCGAGGGTCGAGAAAAAAGAGAAAGACTTCTCACAGGAGGAGCTGGCACAGTGGCTGCAACAATGAGCAGTAATTGTGAGAATTGTGTGGGATCTAGCAATCCTTCCTTCTGCTGTTAGAGCTGATTCAACAGCACCAAGGTCTCAGTTTAACGCTGAGGTTTAATGAACATTAGCAAGTCAATGTATTACATAGTTAGAACCTTGGTTGGTATCTGTAAATAAACAAAAACTCAAAGTCATTGTCAACATGTAGGAACCAACACAGGGTTTCCACTGAATTTCCAAGGCTGTAAATAACACAAGGGATTTCTAATCGTTCTCCTGTGGTGCAGCTAAATATATAGAGAATGAAGGGAGAAAAGAACCCAAAAAGAATGAACCCCAAAGACTCTTGTCCCTTCTTTACTCTTGTTGTTGTTGTTAGGTACCATAGAGTCAGAACTAAGCTAGAGCTGATCCTCCAGTGGGTTTCCAGAGGCAGATAATTGCACAGGAGGAGATTTCTCATCCTCTTCTCAGGAGCAGCTGATGGCCTCAAACCATGTGTCTCCAGTATTGCAGTGCAGCTTTATATAAGCTGTAGGACTTAAATTGGTAAGCATCTTTGTCTAGGGTGCTCAGTTATGTTTCAGATCAACAATAACTGAATACAGAAAGAAAAATATCATTTTTTGTATCTTATTTTATGTCTTCTCAATATATTCCCCTGACTAATATAGTAGTGTGAATTATTCATAGTTTATTCCTATACTAGGGCTTGTCCTTTGGAGATAGTTTAATTCTAGAGTTCTAAGAATCCCCTCTGATCTAGAAATAATGGCATTTGCCTGTCTGTACTTCTCAATAAGTAAAATAACAATACTAACAATATAACCAGTAGCAAAATTGTTCTCAGTATTTGTCATTTACCTTCATCAATCTATTTTTTTGTTGTTAACATTCTTTTCTTCCTGGTTTTCCATTTCACTTTCAAATATCCCTTTGTGCTTTTTAGTCAATAACTCCTCTCTGGTGCATTTTTACAAATTCCTTTGAAGCTTTAAAATAATAAGTTACATTTAACATGTCAATAGAACCACTACTGAGACTCTGAACTGTATTTGAAAGATCTATAGTAACCTGGGAAGACTGTCATTTTTCTTTCCATGGTTTTATTGACCTATAGTTTGTTAACTTTATGAGCTGAATCTCTGTATTCCTTGAAACTATTAGATAATTAAAAGAAATCTGAACAAAATGTTACTTTCATATATATGTTCTTCTTGTCAGAACTGACCCATAGCTGATGCTTCAGCAGGTTTTCAGACGCAGTGATTCACGCTACAGAAGATTACTCATTCTTCTCCCACAGAGCACTTGTTAGATTCGAACTCCATGTCTGTGACTACAGCACAACTTCCTATCACTAGGCCATAAGATATATATCGAGAGAGAGAGAGATACATACACGCATACATATATACATATGTATATATACACATACATACACACATATGTATGTGTATAGTGAGAGAAGGTTAGGCCATCTTCTCCCTTTCAATTAACAGCATCTGAAAACCTGCTAGAAGGTCAGCTATGAATCAGTTCCAACACAATGATATACAACAAATATAATATATATTTATTTATATATATATAATTGCCTAGTGGCAAAAAGCTGTGCTGTAATCACAAAAGCACACAGTTTGAATCCACCACCTGCTCTGTGGCAATGTCCTCCCGTGAAATTAACTGTCTCTGAAAACCTGCTGGAGGGTCAACTATGAGTCAGTTCGGACTTAACAGTACACAATGACGACAAAGAGGTGAAATAAAAACTTATTCCCTCTCCTCCCCAACAAAATTCAGCCAAGAGGCTAGGCTAATACACAGGAGACTAGATCTTTCAGTTCCCGGTAGTCTCTATAAACAGAAAAAGCTGGAAGTCCAATTTAAGGATATATGTATTTCTTCATCATCTACCTATACCCATTTGCACTCAAAATTTAACAAGATGCAACTCCAACCACTCCTGGGCCATGAAAACATCTGTCAGTTCTCTTGTGAGTATTTGCTCTTTCAGTTTCTTATAAAATTTAATGAAGTTCCATCTCTTAGTCATAGGATAGTCTAACTTCAACTCAATTTGTGTGTGTGTTTGCCTTGGGCCTCCTACTGTGCTGACTCCCTACTGTGAGTGTGAAATGCAGGCATCATATTCTGTTCTTTATGCCTTATGATGACCTGCACATAGTGCTCAGTTAAATATGTTCTTGTAAATTTAAGATTCCTGCAGGGTTTCCTGTTCCACATACCCTGCATCCTACGATAAAATTATAGAAGTGCTCACTTCTGCAACAATCACAGTGCTGATCTATAGTTTGCTATAAAACAAGAATATAGATTCAGATGCTTATTTTGACAAGTCCATCTGTGTCCTATGTTCAGGAAGTAAATAAGGGGGAGAGGAATCACAACACAAGTTTGAGATATAGAGAAAAAATAAAAGTTATTTAAAAGGTTGAGCTTGTAATTCTGAGGGGTTGAAAGACTAAGGCATCTAAAGGAACTCGTTTGAATATTTCCATTCACCAACTAGCTCTTTTTCTCCTAAACTATCAGGTAACTGCTAGCAGGCAGCATTTCTTACCCAGAAGACTTAATTTTCCCAGGTCCCGATGGACTAGCAAACACTTTAATTAGAACTTCTGTGAAGGCATGACTTGACCTCCAGTATAACAGATTACTCCCTTCTTCCCCGTGGCATTGCAGTTTGAATGAGGCAGATAAACTCCCCAGAGAGGGTGCTTTGCATCCTAAGAGAAGGACCTCCTTGCTGAAGCTTAGACACTGATATTGGCAGCAGTTTACAAGTCTTTGCCAAATGATTGCTCTACTCCAAGAGAAAATGTTGGAAAATGTAGTGAGTTATTTTTTTCTTCTTCTTTCTTTACCTTTTGCTGAAAAGATTCAAGAACATCTGCCACTTTAAGTACTTCTGGTTTCCCATTCAGAAATCCTTTACTGCTAAAAACCCCTTCACTTAATGGCTTTAGGTGTTGGCGAACAAAAAAAAAATCTTTTTCCTTCCTCCTCCAGTGAATAGATATGGAATCTCCCATCTTCCCAGAAAAGGCCTAGGCCAGTGACTGATCCATCCACTTTGTCTTGAGGCAGCACAGCTCATGCTCTTGAGCTTTGTGCAGGATGGAAAAGAAAGGAAAAAAATAGACTTCAGACGATACCGTGTGCTCTGTTAGCTGCTTCTGCTCAACTCAGCTTCCATTACTCCCATTTTCTGAAAGTGGTCTTCAGTAAGCAGTTGTGAATCTTCATCTCTAAGGAGAAGAACATAGAACAGATTTTTTTAAAACTAATTCATTGGACATTTGAGTGTTTTAAAAAATTTTGTATTGATTTGCATACAAAATTTATATACTTAGACCACAATAGCAATATTGCGGAGAAAGTTAGAAATCATGATGTTTAAACCAAGTATTAGATGACCTGGTGGCACAATGACTCTGTGGGAGAAAGACCTACCCATTTGCTCCCCTAAAGATAACAACATAGAAAACCCAATGGGGTAGTATTACTCTGCCGCATGTGGTCATTGAACTGAATTACCATTTCATATTTATTAATTGAAATGATTGTATCTTCAGTTCTAACTGCCCTTACTCCTTTCTGCACTGCTGCAGTGCCATCGTAAACATTCTTTATTCCTCAGCCACCTTGCCAGTCATACATGCACACACATACACATACACATACACACACACATACACATACACCATACACATACACATACACATACACATATACATTTACATTATAAGCATGCAAGAGTTTCCTTTACTCCAGAGCGTCTTAGAAAATTTGTTTGTATATACTGTATTTGCTATAATACATAGAATTCTCCTTTTGTGTACTATTAGGAGAAACCAGGCTTTGGAAAAAAAATTATCAAACTAGGAAAATGAGAGGGTCAGTAGAAGAGAGGAAAACTGTCAACAAGATGGACTGACTACATGATGAGAAAAATGCACGTGATAAGTATTATAGAAATCATGAATATGGTTCAGGAT